CAGCGTGGCACTGGGCTGTCAGCAAGGTTCAGATCAGCCCTCACTTCTGTGCTTGAGAAGAGACCGAACACAACAAAGACCTAAACACAGCCCAGAGAAGAAGAAAGTGGGAGATGTTTGTGTCCCTTGTGCCAGCCAGGCGGGATGCGGTGGAGCATCCTTGAGAGCTGACGTTGGTGGCACTCCGCGTCTGGGCATCCCTCGTCAAAGGCAGGCTGCAAAACTCGCCTCCCCAAAACCCACTTTGGGTGCTGGGAAACCAGTTTACAAATTCACCCTTTCAACCCACGGTGCCTGGAGAGGTTCCTCCCTCCTCCTGCCTCAGAGCAAAGCCTTGTGAGTCCCTTCGCTCAGGGCTCCTCGCTTTGTTGGGTGATTTCTTTACCCCCACCGAATGCACTAAAGGACACTTATCAGTGTGCTGTAGACCGTTAGCCACAGTAATTACCACTGAGCAATGTCCTGCAGCGAGGCGGGGAAAGCCCGTGCCCTGATCTTCGCCTGCTTTATTGTGCAGTCCCCCTCTTCCTGGGAAGCTGCTTTCCGATGAGCCTGCCCAGCTGCTCATCTGAATTAATGAGGTTCTGCTGCACTTAATTGAGAGCGCTTTCTAAATTGGGGGTTTCAGGGAGGAAATGCAAGAGCCCGAGGGAGCCAAGCAAAGGGAAATATTTATAATGCAGCATGTTAATTATAAATGAGCAGTTTAGCCAATTTTGTTGTTCAGCCTCCCCTCTGCCCCCCAGAGACCTTTATTTTCTTGCTCCACCGCTTCCTTTCAGCCTTAAACGGGCAGCAGGTCCAGATCCCTGCCTGCCTTGCAGGTGTTTGCGCCGTGCAGAAAGGCCCTGGGTTATGGGATGAGCCAGCCCCGCTGTCTTCCCACCCAATTCCTCGGGACGGGTCTCGCTCCCGGCCCAAATCTGCTGACTGGGATGCATCTGGACACCTCCTGGTGCTGTGCTGTGGTGGGGACCTCACCACCTTTCCTAGCTGGTGTTGCTGCTGGGATCACTGGTGAGAGAGGGATGCTCCTCATAAGAAGTGCTGATCACAGAATCACAGAATGTTTGGGGTTGGAAGGGACCTCTGTGGGTCATCTGGTCCAACCCCCTGCTGAAGCAGGGTCACCTACAGCAGGCTGCACAGGACCTCGTCCATGCGGGTTTTGAATATCTCCAGAGAAGGAGACTCCACAACCTCCCTGGGCAGCCTGTTCCAGGGCTCCTTCACCCTCAGAGGGAAGAAGTTCTTCCTCATGTTCAGACGGAACTTCCTGTGCTTCAGTTTTTGCCCATTGCCCATTGTCCTGTCGCTGGGCACCACTGAAAAGAGTCTGGCCCCATCCTCCTGACACCCACCCTGCAGATATTTATAAGCATTTATAAGGTCCCCTCGCAGCCTTCTCTTCTTCAGGCTAAACAAGCCCAGATCCCTCAGGCTCTCCTTGTAGGGGAGATGTTCCAGTCCCCTCATCATCCTCGTAGCCCTCCGCTGGACTCTCTCCAGTAGTGATGGTACCCTGGGGTGATGGGGAGGACCTCCAGTGACGTCTCCAGGAGGTGTGTGACAGGAGCTGATCCCTTTCTGGGCCATGTTCCAGGCACACATGGGTGCCCCTGCTCTGCTGTCCCATGGGGCACCGTTTGCACGCCAGCCCCTAAAGCAAGGCAGGAAAGCCAGGAAAATCACAGTCTCTGCCTGCAGGCTTCGCAGGGTTTGTGAGCAGAGCATGGGGTGGCTCGGAGGGGTGGGTTGACTGACATGCACGGGGCTTGCAGCTTCCCGGCATCCCTCCCTTCTTTTTCAGTGCCATCGCCACATGTACGTGTTTCTGGTGCGTACAGACGGCGTGCTGTGTACGGCTGTGTGTACCAGGGAGGGCTGTGCTTTTGCACAGAGGAGCAGATGGGAGTGTCTTTTAGGAAGTCCTGCGACGTGAGCTGAGAAACCAGAAAGACCTGGTGGCCTGTGTCAGACGGGATCATCACTGAGCAGGAAGGTGGCCTGAGCTGCTTGGCCCTGGCTTGGCACTGCTGAGGGACCGTGGGGTCATCCAGCAGGACGGATGGGCTGCACTGGATAGGGCTAGCACCAAGAAACTGCCCTTTGGTTGCAGGAGAGTAATGGAAGCGACGCTCTGCAGATCGAACCTGCCATCGAGTGCAGCCTGCCCTCACATCCCCAGGTCCCCATGGTGGCTGACCATGGGGATTTCCCCCGTATCCTGCTCCCACCTTGCTCCCAGGGGCTGGTGGTCCCACCTGGATTAAATCATAGAATCATAGAATCATAGGTTGGAAAAGACCTCTAAGATCATCAAGTCCAACCATCCGCCCAACAACACCATGCCAACTAAACTGATGGCTCTAACCCACATGTTGCAGAAATGATTTGTGTTTCCCCCAAGCTGACCAATACTTTGCAAAATGTGGTGGTTTACCTTTCCCACCTGACTCAGGAGAAGCAGAAGACCTTCCTTCAGCCCTGCGAGAGATGGTGGTATAATTTGTGCCTTTCCATTTGACTCATAAATGACTCCATTTGACGTACACCTCTGTTTCTCGAGCCCCCTGACACTCCATGTTCCTGAGCATATTTCCAACAAGCAGGCTGTGTGTAAGCAGACACGTCGGCTGCTGGGATTCCTGCAGGCATGGCAGGTGCTTCTCTGCACAATCCAGCGGTGGGAAGCTCTGACCAACCACAGCCCCTGGGATGGCTTTGGGTTTCCCCCACCATGGTGGAAACCTCCCCCTGGCCATGGCTTCGGGTGGCCAGGCTCGATGCTGGCAGGGGACAGTCCCTGGACGTGGGTCCAGACACGGCCAGAAATGCGGCAGGATGGGCAGCTGGACAGTCCCCGGGTTATTTGGAGAGGATTGCTTCACCGAGTCCATTTGCCAGTGAACAGCAAGAGGTCTGAGGTCCCACCTCTGCCCCTGTATCCTCTTGCCTTTGCTGGAGGCAGGTTTTTGGGAGAGTGGCAAGTAGAGAGAAGCCAGTGCATTCCGGTTTTCCTGGCTGCGAGAAGACCAAAGGCATCCCTGTTTCTTCCCATCAGGCTGGGTGTTGCACACTCAGCCAGCAGATGAGCGCTTCATTTTTTAAGCACTATTTGGACAGGGTGGGGAAGGTTTTATTTGTTGCCAGCAAAAAGTAATTGTCAGACCATGGCTATGAATGGGTCTCCATCCACGCAGAGGCAGGCAGTGGGACCACCTTCAGGTTTATTAGGTTTGGCACTAGCATGGGTAGGGCAGATTTTTTTGTTGTTTTTCCAACATCCCAGAAAAATTCTTGCTCTCTGTTGATTCCCACTTGGGTGAAAAAAAAAAATGAAACGTGGAGGGCAGGTGAAAGAAGTGTTTCATTCAAACCCTCAGCTCTTGGCAGGAGAAAGAGGGGAGAACAACCCAAAGTATTAAAGCAGAGGGCAAGGAGGGCTGAATGCAGTCTGCTTGCTCAGGAAAGTTATTTTATTTGCTTTAAACTTGATCAGATCTACAGAAGATAAAACAAAAGTGAGGCTCATGGATGCGTGTTCGTCAGCGGGCAGCCTGCCCAAGGGATGTGTTTCCTAGCCATGTGCCTGGGCAGCTGGCACGGAGAGCTGCTCGGGGCGATCGGGTTACTGCCAGGCTGGACCACGGCTGCTCGAAGAGGGCTGGAGGTGGCCATAAGGGTGGATGAGCAGCTTCCCTTGGCCCTCAGTGTGTCGCAGGAGATGCCCAAGGGGTTGCAAGGTTCCTTGTTGCTCCCGAACTTCTTTTGTCCCCATCCCGGAGCCAGGTGCAGCAAAGGGTCAGGTCTGCGGGGTCGGGCTGCACTGCCCGTGGGGGAACTGGGTCCCGTCCAAATTACCTATCGCTGGCTCCGTGTTCTCATCTTGGCAAGCTGCAGCTTAGGAAATTTGGATGCACAGGCATTTCTCACGTATGCCTCTTGAACTGCAGTAAATATTTGGGACTCTGTTCCTTGGGCTTGCTGAAATCAGCTGGAGGGTCGGTAGCCGTCTGCGTGCACAGACGTGGGGGCAGGAGAGGAGGTTGTCCAGCTCCCACTGTCACAGGCAACTGCGGTGTAGGATGACCTTTGCAAACATCTCTTCAAGTTAGGGAGGGGACAAAGCTGTGCAGCAAGTCAGGCTGTGAACTGAAGATGGTTCATGAGGGAAGATGCCTGGGATTTGTGTAGTGTTGGTTGACTCTGCAGCCTAGGCCTATGTGGCATTTCTGCAGTGAATCCTTTTTCTTCTTTTGGTAGAAGTTTTTAGGAGGTCCTTCAGTCATGTCCTACAAGAAGATAGTAGAACCTGAAAACTCCTTGTGAGTCCCACCAGATGCAGGGCATTGTAGACCGGGATGACGAAATGAGGCTGTGCATCATTCATTGTCATAGATCATGGGCCCAGGGGTGACATCCTTTAACGGGAGACATTGCCAGGTGCATATTCTCTCCTAACAACTAACGAAGCCCCCAGAGGAGTTGTCTGTTGCGCCTGGAGTCTCTGTTAGGGTGTTGGTAAGTCATGGTCCTGCTCCAAGAGTAGAGCCTAGTTCGTGTCACATTTACTTGCTCGTGATTACTTCTGAGGGACTCTGCTTTTTCCCCCAAAGCACATTCATCAAGGCTGTGCAGCCAAAACTTCAAGGGCACTGCAGAGTCGGTACAAGAGAAATCTGGATGTAACATTTCAGTGTGGTTTCTCCAGAGATGATAACCACAGGACCGATGCAGTATCACTGGGGCAGACTTTGGTCACATGGTGTAACATAGATCGTATATAAAATATGCTAGCTCAATAAATCAGATAATGTTCCCACAGCTGGAGCTGTTGGTGGTGAGCTCAGAATGTAGGAAGTCACGCTTATATTGATATAAAGTAATGCAAAAGCTCAAGGGTTCTTCAGAGGTGGTTGGTCATGAAAGTCAGGGGATGTTGACAGTATTTCTACTAATTTGCTGTCTTTGTTTCACTTCCCCCCACCACCCTCCAGGACCAGGAAGAAAATAAAGGAGCCACCAGCTGGCCGGAGTTTTATATCGACCAGCTGAACTCAATGGCTGCTGTAAGTATTTCCCAAGGCTTTGGTCCGTATGGGGCAGCAGCGCAGCGGTGACAGCCTCCGGCATGGCCAACATTGTGCCCAAGAGGGCGACGAGTGACATAGCCACAAAGTTGTGACCCGGCTGTTTTCAGCCTTTCGGGTCTGCAAACCTCTCAATGATTTGGAGTTGGCAGTAGCTTGCAATTTGTCCCAGCCGTTCAGAAACCCCTTATGTATGGATTTAAGGATACCCTCCATTAGACCAACAGATGCAGCTGGGGAACAGAGGCATTTTCTATGGCAGGAAGGGCATTTCATCTTGCCCTGGGCTGGGAGGCTGGGAGACAGATGGCAAATAGCAGCTTTCAGTATAAAGTATGAAGTTTTTAAAGACCCCGTTTGATTGTGCAGTGCTGGTGGGGCACTGAGCTGCCGTGGAAGCCCATAGTGCTTGTACTTTTTCATAGATGCCTGCTACTGCCTCGCTCCTGACACCCTTCTGTGCCAGGCAGGCATGGCGAAACACGCCACTGCAGGTTGTCTGTCCCACAAGGGATGAGCTTATATGTAATTTTATTAAATACTTTAATTTAAATATTTAATATTTTAAGAATAACAATTA